AATAATAACATCTGTAATTAGAATGGCATTATTCTATAAAATATTAGAACTAGAAAAGATTAATGCTCAGTTCAGATGAAGGAAAGGACCATAGTATGAGTGTAATTAATAGACATACTTTTTTAAATATGCTTCTGATTCAAAAACTCTACAATATCTTAAATACCTAATGACCTTCGCGTTGATCTGGCATATAGGTCGAAACTGGTTTGTTAAAACTATTGTTTAAGCTGATTTCTCAAATCTTTCTTTAACTTAACTAAACGATAATGTCCTTTTACAGAGAAATATATGCCCCGATTAAAAGATGAGCCAACCGTTTTGGTTCATATATATTGAAGCTGGCTAAAATAAGAAAATCTCTGGTAATTAATTATCCGTCTCTATTTATACGAAGAAAAATAATAATCGACAATAGAATGTTGGTGTGAGCCCTTGCAGTACTGGACCTAAGTTGGGAAATCTTTAATATATACTATTTTTTTGAATCCTATGTAAGTATTAGTTAGTATATAGATTTCAATCTATATTATTTATTTTGATTGGAATGATTTATTTTGTATAATCTGTTGAAGACTCATACAAAGACGCACAAGGACTGTATCCGCTGAGATATGCATTAATATATACATACTATGTATAGATATATCTATATATAGTCAAACTTCCATAGCTCGAAGTACCATTTTGCAAAGGAAATGTTCGACTTATGGGCAAAGTTAAAGAATTTTTATGTAATTGTGTATAATTTGCGCTTTAAACCCTGTTGCTCTCTATTTACTTCAAGTTATGGAAGTTTGACTGTATATTTATAATTCATATGTGTATTTATATAACAGTTAAGATCAAGATCAGCGCAAATAGTAGTATTTTTTTTTTTTAATAATGTTTTAGTCTATATGTAAGCTCAAAGTGAGCGGTACTAAATTACAAGAATAGGTGCCTAAAATACTATTGAAGAGCTTTATTGAGTGTGCAAGCAAATCTTTCATTTCAAGGAGCTCCATGGGATTTATACATCTTAATCTTAATATGATCTTAATCTAAATATGTCATTAGGTCCATCGTAAGCGGATCTGGATGATTATATATTGACATATTTATTTTTTTACACCGAGTCACATACTTTGTTGTATATTAAGACTTATCTCTTTTAATGGCTGGGACTTAGAACATATACACATACATTTTAGAACGAAATGTTAAAACTGTTTATGTTATATTTACTTAACAAAGTTATTTGAAAAACTGCTTCTGTCAATGTAGTTCAGCTTATGTCAATGCAGCTTGACAGCTACGATTAGGAGTAATTAAATTGAGCGCATTTGCACTTCTAAGACTAATAATGCGTTGAACCCCTATTGCCACTCCCTTTCCCTCATTGAAATGTAATTACTCATGTGTCTTCTTACAATGAATTATAAAGTCTAAAAACTCAATTAGTTTCATTAAGTATCCAATTTAAATTTATTAAACTGTTATTCATTTCCTTCCTGCGCATTTCTCCAGCCCATCCTTCGCCTCCTGCTCCCGAACAGATGTTAAATTTTTGTCCATAATTCAAAGGAAAAGCGCAGCTTTAGCGTGCGAATTAAATTTTCCAGCAATTCACAAACCCAAACTGCACTTCATTCCCTCATATTTACGTCCAATGCAGGTTTTAATTAAAAATTTGAGATGCATGCACCGCACAAATGCGGCAATTAAGCCGCAAAACTAGGAAACAAAATAAATAAATTTTAATCACAAAAAAAAAAAATTCAAGTGTTTTTCTTCGGATTTTTTCCTAATAGAAATTCTTGTTTTTATGCAGAATCCAAGAGTGGACATTAACCTTTTATAATAAACACGCGCATATGTACAGTAAATTTACTACCGCACCTTCGATGAAGTGGAGGGCAATAGAACGGTACAAAGTGGCGTAGCAATGGTAACTCCTTTTAGAAAAGATCTACAAAATAATTGCGAATATAAAAATGTACAAAACAGAATGAAACAAAAAAAAAAAATAAATAAAAATAAACCAGAATCAAATATGAAAAAAATAAAGTAAAAACTGGATATGCCTATGGTGCATTTAGTACACCTGAGGCACTACGGCACCACCTGTGCGCAATCAAAAGACCTACGGTTTCTTGAGCCAAAAACCTGAATTAAAAACAACTTCACAAGCGAACACACATTCACACACAGAGCCTCAATCCGATTTGTAGTAAAAATAACATTGAAACGCGTTTGTCCCTCGAATACGCGAAACTTGATCACTGCAGCACTTAACATTAGGAGCAGGAACGCAGTTTTCCTCCATTGGCCATTGCCTATTGCTTATTGCCAATTGCCCAGCACAGCACAGAAATAAAACCATAAGTTGCTGCCAAATGATTACAATATTACGATGTGGTACGCTGCGAAGCGCTGCTCTAAGCTGGAGCGTTGATCACCATCACAACGAAGACGATGGCACATGAAGACACCAGCGGGCACTTGAGTGTGGACAACGGCTTTATAGCACAACATTGCCCAGCTA